CAGTGGCGAGGGGCAACTGAAGCAGGAGGAACTCAGCTGGATTTGGGGAAGGAGGGAAGGGAGAGCAGGGAGGGGCATGGGGTCTGGGAAAGGGGAGGCAGGAGAGATGATGGCTCAGGATTCCAGTATCCCTGCGAACCCTCTGCACTTTGCCACCTGTGCTCTGAGACCCACGGTTGGTTAAGTGTGGCTCTCCTTGCACTCAAATCCACACTTTCGTGCCACGCTAGCTATGTGCACCCCTCTTCTCCCCTCCCAGCCAGCCAGCCCCAGTCCCTAAGCATGTGGTTGTCCACCGCCACACTGTCTGTCAGGCCGCGTCCCCCCAGCCACGCGGCCCTTCTTTCTGTGTACTGTCGACCTCATGTGCCAGGATCCTGTCTGTGTATCTGGTCAGTACCATTTAACTCCAGAGTCTAGAAGAGCATTTATATCCCGCTATCCTGCTGTTAGATAGCCCTGAGAAAATCCCTGATAGTCTGAGAAGGGAAAAAGGACTTCTGGAAAGCCCAGGTTGTCAGAAACCCAGCTTTATTGGTTGCCTGCACCCTGTCCATCAAATGTCACTACTGTGATGGAAAATGGAAAGCCTGGCCTCTTGCCAGCTCCCTTACAGGAGGATGTAGGTAGAGGAGGCTCTGATGGAGGGGAACATCAGATGCCCATTTTTTTCAAGAAAGGTTATGGACACTTCTGGTGTCTCCAGCCCAGATCTCATGGGAGATGGTCGAAGCAAACGTTCCCCTTTCTCATGGCTCCAGACCCTGAACTGATCACAGTCTGGAGAAATCCTGAGGCTCTAGCAGTCCAGCCCCTCCGAGCCCGTCTACATACCCAGGAGAAGCCAGGAGCCACTCAGTCTCCTTGTGGCTTTGAACTCAAGGGGAGAGCACACCCCGGGCTCAGGGAGTGGAGCTGATACTCCTGTGCCTGCAAGTCCTCCCGATCCCGGAGGAGGTCACTGAGTGAGGGAGGAACCCACGGCTTTCTGTGAAACATTACGCATGAAACTCACTAGAATTACCCTCCCAGCCCCCAGATTATAGGACGTTCTTCGGCAGAAAAGCTCTTACCGATGCCAACACCCTTTCAATATCCAGGGGTCAGTTGTTGCCAAAAATAGTGACAAAACCTACTTTTTTTTCCCATATCTCCCTGAGAGTCTCCAGGTGTGGACTGGATTTGTAACTCAGCATTTTCAGGTAGGCCTAGAGTGCCTTGATTTCAAAGATGGGCTTTCCATGTGACATAAAGGTCCAGATCATGAAGGTACGTGAGAGTCACAAGCTCCAGCTACGAGAGGGGACGAGGACGGGCCTCGCTTTTTCTGCTTTTCCATCTCGTGATGGAGTCTGGAGCCACAGCCTCCTGAGCCTTCATCCCTAGTTCACCCTCTGTCCTAATGATGTCAAAGATAAGGTTAGTCACTCTGGCAAACCAGGTTCTCAAGGGGCAGGTGAGCTGGGTTTTGAGGGCTCCTCCGGGACAATTAGGCACCCATGATGATTTTCCAGGGTAGCTCAGAGGGCTCATGCAAGGCAGGAACCCAAGTGAGTCAGGCTGACGGCGACCCTCCGTAAACACCAGCCCAGTAGCCAGAGGACAGGAGTGGTAGGCACACCATGCTAGCTGCAGGGCTCAGGAGCAGCCTGACCCAAGCCAAGTGTGTGCCACCTCGGGCCGCCCACCGATTGAAGCTGAGTCCTGCTGTCCCCAGAGCCGAGACTTGGTATGGTACCCTTCGGCTCCTTGTGTAAGGAGAAAGACCAGCCTGGCTCTACCGTGGGGTGTCGTGTGTGTGTGTGTGTGTGTGTGTGTGTGTGTGTGTTGTGTTTTCCTTCTGCAACATCCTGTCTTCCGGCAGCCAGCTGAGGGGACGGGGGCATGACTGCCAAAGAAGCCCTCTGACCTTGTCCACACAGACAGGCGGCTGCCCTTTGCCTGCCCCTCTGCTTTCGGCACACTGGAGACCCACAGACACCCAGCTGCTTGTGCAGCTCTCCAGTTTCCATTATTTGCTGTGTGTGTGTGTGTGTGTGTGTGTGTGTGTATGTGTGTCCATGTGAGTGATTGTACTCTCCAGATTTCCCAGCCTCGGGCTCAGGACCCTGGAACAGGGCTCTGGGATAAACTAGCAAAGATTCGGGATGTAATTCTCTCCCAAAACCTCTCAGAAAAGCTAGAAACTTAGGGAGAGGGTCAGGTGCCCACCAAAGCCTCCTCTCCTTCTGTGGTAGTGAGTGACTAGGCTTGGGGGAGCATTCACGGGCTTTGTCTCTTCTGGTCCATGTCACGGGCTCCTTAGCTAAGAGTTCTCCACAGCGGTCCTTGAGCCTCCTGTAGCCTGCCCTGTGTAAAACTTGGGGTCACCTGCCTGCGTACCGAGAGAGCATTTTCTGTCCAAAACACTCCTTCTGAGGCCCAAGGCCCTTTGCCGAATAAAAGGGCATGCGTAGACACTCCTTGCTCTAAGAACACAGAATGAAAGTCAACAGGGGGCCACTAGGCAGTCACCAAAGTTAACAAACTCTCTGGCTGCATCTGGGTGGGAAAATCCCAGAATCCCAACCCAGATTATGCATGCAATTGACGACCTCACCTTGCCCATGGCCACTTCCTGATGTCTCATCAGCATCCCCGACAGACCACCTGGCCCTCAGAGCTAGTCTGTTCTGGGTCCCCACCTGGGGCCCTAGATGTCTGCCTGCAGGTTGAAGGACCCACACCAGGGGCTCCTGCCCATGAGCACAGCCAGTGGAGCAGGCTGCTCCAAACTGCTGACCGTGGCCCCGTGCAAAGGCACAGGGGCTCCCACTCCGAGCCCTGCAGTGCGACAGATGGCCCCTAGAGGAGCAAACACCCCTCTCTCCTAACTGCTCCAAGAGGCAGCACCATTTCTGGCAGGCTTGTTTTCTGTCTCTCCCACTGACTCACCTACAGCGCTGGCCGCTTCTCTTTTCCCATTTTTTCGCCCTGTTTTGCTGTTGTTTTTGCTCATTAGCTGCCGCTGCTGCTATTTGGAAACCACGTGTAAGCTGAAGATTTTTTTTTTCTGTATTTTTCTCCCTACCTTTTTTTTTTTTTTTTTTTTCCCCTAAAGCCAGAAAGTGAGCAAGGTCGTAGAACCTCCTTAGAAAAGTTCACTCGCAGTGTGGTAAGTTCAGCTGGTTTTCTTCCCTCAACGTTTCTTCTGGGTTTTTTTTTTTTTTTATTTTGTTTCTTCGGTTGTCGTTGTTGTCGTCGTCGTCGTTTCCTTCAAGGCGGGAGGGAGTCCAGCGCTTTCCCCACTCAATACACCCCTTTTCTTTTGTGAGCGTCTGCAGCTTCTCTTCTAGGGATGGGTTTGCAAGAGACCAAGCGGCTCCCTCTGCAGAAGGTGCACACACAACCGCCCTGCCTCGGGCCTTGCATTCGATATTCCGCTCAGGGCTTTGGGGAGGAGGGACCGTGCTGCCCTTGGGGCCGCTCGGCCTGTGCATCTTCTGCAGCAGCCCAGGGAGAAGGCCATCGAACTGTACCACAAACTAAATTGGCTCAGAGCCGTAGCTCACCTGAAAAAAAAAAATTCCAAATTTCCCTCTGTGAATGAACTCTGGCAATCGCGCAGGTGCAGGTCGCGAGCTGATGTTGCTGTGTGGCGGCTTTTGCGTGTGCAGAAGGTGGCCGTGCTGCATGGGTTCTGGCAATGCAGTCTAGCTGGCGTGTGTGTTAGTGGCCTCTGCATGAGCTCCGACATCCCTTACAGCCCCTGTCAGCCTCATCCGTGTAGCGTAACAGGGAGAGGAGGGCAGTAGCCACCGAGGGGTGGAGGAAGAAACAAGTCCCTGCCTGGACTCCCAGGGGCAAGGCCTTGTCCTGATTCTGATAGAGGGAGTACAGGTGGGCTACAGGTTCACTCTTCTTGTAGGGAAGTGGCCTATTTCCCATGCACATCGAGATTCGAGGGTTGTAGAGTGCAAGAGTGGCATATAGGAAACCCCACGGTAACAGGCGAGAGTGCTGAATGAGTAGGTCTTCCCCAAGGTGCATAGTAGAGGTTCTGTACTGTGGTCTGTAGAACAGCACAGACCCATCTCTCCTTTTCATGCCATTCTCTCCAAGATTCGAGCGTAGAGCTTACTGTACAGGAAGGACTCGTTCTCACGCATTCACTTGCTCATCACAATGAGCTGCTGAGTTCCTGGGGCCCAGCCTGCACTGTTAACATCAAGCCAGTGGGAACCAAAATGGCAGCCAGGGAACAGGAAGGCCATGCGTGGAACTGGCCACACTTCCCTTCCCAAAGGACAGAAACCCACTGATGCTGATTTGCCCTTTCCCCCACTCCCCTTTCTCTGTTGAGGAGGAGAGTCCTTGTAAACCTAACTATCGTGTGATTAGTATCTTTATTTCATCTTTTTAACATAAATTGTAAGAATTCTGGGCTGAAAGCAACCGAGTCAACTACCTGCCACAGCCAGATGCATTTTAACGGAATTTAAACATTATTTTGAATTTGCTAGGTGTGATCATCACAATAAGTGTAGTAGGTGGCAATTAAAATATGGGTGCTCATCCCTTCTTTGGTCTTCTCTATGGGCTTTCCTCATGAGAAATCAGAACTTGCAGAATGCAAGGCCTACTGGTCCCCCGTGTGTCTTTGGCGGCTGCTTTGCCACAGCTATGTGGCTTCACACACTAACAAGCTGCCACAGGCTGCCAGAGACAAAGCCTTCTGGAGCTTCTCCACCCCTGAGCCCCTGCGGAGAGTGGTGGGAACCTGTCCCTCCCTATTGGTTTTGAGGACTGCATGCTGTGTGTAGATGATGTTTAAGAACTTTGTTGAAGAACCCAGAGTATACCGTGAGGCAAGCTGGACCACTAGATGCAAACGCAGGGCAACAGAACTCTCAGAGCCCCCTGGAAGCCCTTCAGGTTGACCTTGTAGGCCGAGGGTGGGAGAGAGGAAGGCTGGTACCCAGACAAGATGTTCAAACATCTCCAGGCTGCTTTTTATGAGAAGTGGGTATCAGGAGAGGCCTGAATGATCTCAGTGAAACTCTGTGAAGAGCTTTTAATGATGCCTCTTCAACCCAGAAGTAGTGTTGGGTCAGTGGTCCTCCAAAGTCTGTTAACAAAGCATGTGGAATGAGAAAGCACCAGACATCTTCCCAGCGTCTCAAGTGTGCAGGGATGTTTTCAAGGCTGGCTGAAGGAGAAAAAAAAATCTTCCAAGCTCCTGAGATTTTTCGCATCTATACAATAGAAGGGCCAAACGTCAAACAAAAAGTTTCTAGATTCCCTTTCATGAAGACTCTAATGGGTGGTGCATTCCAATCTCTTGGTTCCAGTGGCGGAAATGGATTTGCATGGATGCATCCGTGTTCCCAGTACTCCTGCGACAACACCACACACCCACAAGATATGGCTGTGTTGGAGGAAATGGCCTATGGCTGTAGAATAGTGGCAACCCTCAGAGTACGTGAGGCTGGAACCCAAGAACTTGGTCTGAACAGCCCAGTGTTCCAATCAAATGGAATTAACCAACCAACCAATATGCCTTGCAATCTGATAGCCATTTTTCTGGATATAATATACATAAAATGCTAGATTTCTCTAAAAGAAGGTCTATATGAATATGTCATCTGCTGTATACTGCAAACTATAAAACTCGTTGAAAGATAGTTCAATAACATTCTCACGGTGCTGGGAAATATGTATAAAAAGGCCCTCCGTGTCATGGGATTAATATGAAACATGAAGGAGTGAAGGTAGGCAGATCATGGACCAAGGATATGAGGCCAGCTGCCATTTAGGACTAATTGGTGGCAAGAAACGTTAATCCAGGTGGTTGGATAGTTCAGTCAGATAGTCTCCCGTGGTCAATTTCCTTTCTTTTCTTGGTAAAAGAAGCTTTGGAGAAAGCAGATTGTTCCTTCCAAGTCTTAAGATGTATTATGACGTGGAGGGATTATCTGTTAAAGGCCAGACACGGCCCCTTTCACAGGAGATCCTGGGGAGTAGTTTAATGTGGTTCATGGAAGCTGCTGGGGCCATACTAGTTTGGGTGCAGATACCTTGCAATCCCCCATAGAGGCAGTGCTGTGGGAGCTTCTCCTTCCAATGGAAATTCACTTGGAGTCACCCAGAACTTGAATATACAAAGCCAATGTCTGGGGATATGCCGTGCCGAGCATCATGTAGTTGGGTTCACTGGAGCCGCAGAGCCTTCACGAAGCTCTGCTTATTTGACGGGAAAGACCCAGGTTCAAGACCAAACATAGCTGAAAGTCTATGGCATGGTGCAACTAGCCCATGTTATACCTTCATTCAAAACAGAAAACAGGACTCCTCCGATGGGCCCAAGCCCCACAGATGCCCAGCTGGACAAGCACAGCGCAGGCTGGAGTTCAGCCCCTACTCGACCTTCAGCTGCCCTTGTGTAGGGAATGACCCACACCGCTGTACATGGTGGGTCTGATCCGAGGAGCCCCAGCTGGAGAACTATAACACATGGCCGCCTCACAAGGGGGCGGCCCACACACGGATTCAGAGCCTGTCTCCCCTAGTCCTATGCACCGGGAAGCTCCCTTTCACAACGGCTGTAAAATATGCAGTAGGAAGCATCTGGCATCATCGTGGGCCGTCTCTCCATCACCTTCCCTCTCCTCCTCACAGTCCTTGGCGGGAGCCCCGGTGCTGCCCACTGGTGGAACAGGGGCTTCTCTGTGGAGAGAGATGCCAGTGCCCGGCCTTCTGCCATTCTCCGCCGTCCTCCTGGTTTTGCTGTTGACAGACAACATGGAGGGTGGGAGGGTGGCCAGAGCCGAAAGTCCCGCTGTCCTCTTCTTTCTTACCGTCCCATGGAAGAGGCCACAGGGGGGTGATGCACTCGAGGCAGGGGAAATGGCAGCCCGAGTGACACTGGTATCAGCCTCCCTTGAGGCTTTCACCTAAGCCGCAGCTCCCTCGGCTGTAGCCTCAGGCTCCAAAGCCGGGAAATGGGGTTGCAGGTGCCCGAGCAAGCACTGGAGGCCACAGAGGAGAGAGGAGTTGAGGACCAGGGGTCCACCCGCCTGAGACAACATGGCCGTGGAGCTTTGTCAAGGTGCTCCTTGGAGTTGAAGCCACAGGCCCCGCAGCTGAGGGAGCCTGGCATCTCCAAACAGGCGTTTCCCTCCCGCCTGCCTGCCAAGGAATGCAGCCGGAAAGTCAGAGACCCGGAAGCCCTGGGAGCCAGCTGTCACCCGCCCTCCCCCTCCCCTCCCTCCCTCTGCCTTTCCTCCCTCCCTGGCCAAAAGAAAAGCTAATGAGACGGGAAAAGTCAGCAGCCCACCTCCGCTCCTTCACAGGCAGCTCTGCAGGAAGAACCCCCACCCAGCTCCAGGCCCAATCAGGAAGTGGAAGGCTGAGGCTCCTGGCAGGCGAGGCAGCCGGCAGACAACCAGGGTGCTCCAGGAACAGAGCGGGGGTCAGCTCCCTCCCCAGGAGGCTGGTCCCCCCACCCAATGCCTCCGCAGTGTATCATGGGAAACAGCCTCCCACTCTGGTGGAATGAGTTCTCAAATACCTAGATTCAGCACAGCCCCTCGAAGGGCTTCGACCTTAGTCAAAAAAAAAAAAAAAAAAAAAAAAAAAAAAAAAAAAAAAAAGAAACCCTTTTGGGCCTCCAGCAAAGGACTACCGGTTAAAAATCATTACATGGGGTTGGTTTGGATTGCAAACAGTCCTTGAGCCCCTTTGGGACCACTGGGTCAGACTGTTGCGCTCGCCTCTCCCACGCCAGTGCCCCGAGGCCCAGCTGTAGTGAAACCGCAGCCCGCCTAGACGTGGAGGGGGACTTGCATGGTGGCATTTGGAAAGGAAAGCGTAAAAACCTGCCCCTCTTGAGCAGGGAGGACTTCCGGGACCGGGTGGAACTCGTCAGCAGCCCCCATGCAGCGGCCCCTGCTCCTAGCTTCAGCATGCTAGCTGTGCAGCCTCAGGCAAGTGGTCAGCCCTCTCTGAACCCTGGTTTCCTCCTACGTACAACAGCTTGGACTAAATAATCTCTACAGCCTGCTCCAGCTGGGAGTGCCCATAGGTCTGTGCTTCTTTCTAGGCTAGGATTCCTGAATTGTGCTCATCATCTCTCAGAATGAGCAAAGAGTCGCCT